GCAAGTAGGGATTGAGTTGCGAAGAAGTTAGAAAAAAGGCTAATGACACAGCCGAACAAGACAAGGGCTGAGGCCTACGACCACATGAAAGAGGAGTACAAAGTTCATGTCCATTTGAAGAAAGTGACCAAAGCACTTCAGAAAGCCAAGGCCAAAATAGAAGGGTGCAAAAAAAAACAGTACGCAAATTTGAGAGACTACTTAGGTGAGCTATTGAGAAGCAATCCAGGGTCTACATGTCAAATGCAAGTGATCCCACAACCTGATCCGAACTCCTCTCCCATATTTTCTAAGTTGTACATTTGTCTGGATGCATGCAAGAAAGGGTTCAAAGCTGGCTGCAGGCCCTTAATTGGTTTGGATGGATGTTTCTTGAAAGGATATTATGGAGGTCAATTGTTAAGTGCAGTTGGTGAGGATGCCAACAAAAGTTTCTATGTCATTGCATATGCAATTGTTGATAGTGAAACAAAAGAGAACTGGAAGTGGTTTTTAACCCTATTACAGGAAGATATTGGCCCTCACGCAGTGTTTGGATGGAATTTTATTTCTGACCAACAGAAGGTGTGTTAAGCTTGTTTCATTTCAACTTGCTTAAGTATTCAGATTGATCCAATTGTTGAATGATTTTTCTGCTGTTATTTACCTGCATTGCTGACCCTATCATGATTACATAAACTGCATTTTTAACTGCATTGCTGATGTTAAGTGCATTGCTGATGTTTAGTGCATTTCTAATGTTAAGTGCATTCCTGATAATGTCAGGGACCAATTAGTCCCTCGTGCAATTTGTCAGGGACCATAACGACCCTCGATGGCAATTGCCAGGGACCTATTTGATCCTCGTCTATTTGATTCAGCAACACTTTGTGGCAATCTATATATGTTTTTGTGATACCTTTTTTTTGTGTCTGTGTGTAGGGGCTGATTCCAGCACTGCAAGAGGTGATGCCTGGTGCATATCATCGTTTTTGTGTGCAGCACGTTTGGAAGAATTTCATAAAGCAATGGAAAGACAAGGCAATTCGAGCCATGGTTTGGGAGTGTTCAAGATGCACCACTGTCCCCCAGTTCCAGCAATGCATGACACGATTGAAAGTAAAGAATGAGGCTGCATGGAAGTACTTGGATGGCATCCAGCCCTCAAGTTGAGTGAAAGCTTATTTCAGCCACTGGTCTAAATGTGATAATATCACAAACAACATGGCAGAGGTATGGAATGCCAAGATCGTTGGATATAGGTCAAAACCGATTATCACTCTATTGGAGGAACTGAGATGCTACATTATGAGGAGGATGGCTGCACATCAGAGGGTGTTAGGAACTGTTCGGGGTAAAATAGCTCCTGCTCAGCAATTGAAACTGGATCAGTTAAAGGTTCTTAGCAATTCATGGACACCCACTTGGACTGGAAATCTACAGCAAGATATGTATGAGGTCAGTGGGAAAGGTGATAGAGTTGGAGTCAATTTAACAACACATACATGTGCATGCAATGTATGGCAGTTGACTGGACTGCCTTGTGAGCATGCTATAGCAGCAATTTGTCACAAAAATGAGCCAGCCGAGAACTATGTCCATCAATGGCTTACAGTTGATGCATTGCATGCCACATATGAGCACACCTTAAACCCAGTGAACTCGGACAAGTATTGGCCTGCATCTGATGAACCCAAACCTCTTCCACCAAAACTGAAAAGGCCAATTGGGCGACCCAAGAAACACAGGAAGAAGGACCCAACTGAAGACCAAGGGAGCATGACAAAGAAAGTTAAAAGGACATATGAAGCCAAGTGTAGTAAGTGTGGTCAGACTGGACACTATGGCAAGAGTTGTAAGGGGCCAGCAGCTTCCAAAACAGACAAGAGCCAAGCAAGACCACAATCTGTGAGGATTGGCACAGACTCAGTAAATGAAATCCCATTAAGTCAAGGAGGCCCTTCAGAAATTGGTAGTTCTCAGGCACAACCAATCAACTCGAGAGGATGCAGCCCACCTCCTTCAAATCCAGAAGAAGCAAATGCAGTGTTGACTGAAGAGACAATTAAGGCAGCCAGCACTGGCACACAAAGCAGATTTATGCACTTCATGACAACACCTGGTTTTATGCCACCAAGGCGATCCTCAAGAAAATGAGCTGCTGATGAAGACGAACAAGGGAGTAGTGCATGAGCCAACTGAAAATGAGTGGATATAATGCCCTTTTTTTTGTACATTCTGGCCATTTTTTTTGGGAGGCCTTTTACAGATATAATGTAATCATTTTGATGCATGGCCAAGATTGTATTTATAGGCCTCACTTGTAATTTCTATCAGTTGGCTTTTATTTGTAATGCACTACTGGTTTGTAGTTGTAGGAATGTGATAAGTTCATTTTGATGAATGTGATAAGTTCATGTCCATTTTATGTTTTTTAACTGAGTTAGCTTGTTGTTGGTCATTTAGCTGCCATATTTGCATTCTGGTGCAGGTTTGTGCTGTGTTACTGATTAAACAGATCATGTCCAATTTTCTGGATGCAGGGACCAATTAGGACCCCGACAATCATTGTCGGGGACCAATTTGGACCTCTACACGCTGCATTTTTGTGATACTTCTATTTTGTTGATCTGGACTGCATTCAAAAGCATATAAGTCAGGGACAGCAAGTGTATCTGATGTAATGCACTACTGTTTTTTAAAATGAGTGCTGCATTTTGTTGATTTGGACATCAACAACTCATGTCCTATAATTCTGGAATCAGGGACCAATAAGTGCCCCGTGCACTTTGTCAGGGACCAAAACGACCCTCGACTAACATTGCCAGGGACCTAATTGGTTCTCGTGTTTTGCAATCAGTAACAAAATATGCATAACAATATGCAACTTCTGTATCAGCAATGTCATGAGTTATGTGTCTATATCAGTAGCAATCTATATCTGTTTGTGATACAATGTAGCAATCTTTTATCCTTCATTCGATGCCTATCTATGCAATAATATATAATGCCATAATATATTAAGGAATACATTCAAGGCTTTTTTATAATAGGCCATATGATAATACACACAAACAGATTTGAACTAACAACAGGAAGGAGTACTCATTACAATTCACTGAAGCAAAAATACATTTGGGTCACTTTTTTTCACTTTTACCACACTAACAACAAACATATAGATCATGATCATACCCACACAAGCACCTAAGACCCTAGCTGACCTATCAACTGTCCTAATTTTTTTGTCCATCCTAACTAACTCCTCCACCATCTTCAGGTATACATCATTCAGTTTTCTTTCCTGCTGATGAAGCTTCATTCCTTGCTCAGTAATCTTCACATCTTGCTCTCTCATCATCATCTCCACATACTTCAACTTGAAGTTAATTTCAGCAACATCCAACTCCACAGTGTGAATTCTTGCTTCTTCCAGTTCCATGGGTTCATTACACATGTCATCTACCCATCTAAAAAAATCACAATAGGGCTTCTTCACCTGAAAAAATAAACACCATGGTTAGCAAGTGTTCCAACTCAATAAAGGAGTAGATTACAAATTCGTACCTTGAAGTTAGGACACCCAAGGAAAGCCCTGTTTGGGTTCCTCTCAGTTTTGGAGGTATAGACAATACTTTGTCTCCCACATTTGCACCTCCAACCAGTGGTCCTTGCCATTGTTCTTCCTCCCATTGATTTACTCTCACTTGACCCCCCCATGCCAGAAGAAACACTCATCTTCTCCCACGCCCAGAAATCCGATTGATGGCTTAATGTCTTTCGTCGAGTTTCAATCATCAAAGTGCAAACTTTCTGGCGGCTTTTTGCTGTTTACAGATTTGCTCATCAATTTGGGGGATGGAGTTTCCGGTTTAGGGTTCTATTGAAGGCATTTCGGTTTTTTTCAATTTTAGGGTTCATTATTTGGGTTTTATCAATTAATTGCATTCAAGTAAAACGACGTCGCGCTTTCCATGGGTGTCCACCGTCGTCGTCCAGCTTTCCACCGTGTCCACCGTGGAGTCCGCGTCAGCAGATAACGTGCCACATGAGCACCGTTAGTTTGACCGTGACGGAGGAGTTGACAGAAGGACTAACGTGACCCTTTTTTCATAACTTTAGGGACCAATTTGGTACTTTTACATTGTCAGGGACTAAAATGGATTTCGCTAATATTGCTAGGGACCAAAAAGGGTATTTACTCTAAAATTAACATGACAAATAAAATATTATTTTATATATAAAAAAAATTGACCCAATGGATCGATCCATCTATGGTGGGCTGAACTTGTTTAACCCGGGATGGGTTCAAATGAATTGACGGATTAGGAATCCGAATTCAATTAACCATTTATAATGAATTAAAGGAGCCAGCCCGATAAATCAAACCCATTTTTTCACCCCTAATCAATGATCTGTCTCGTATTCTCAAATTTTCCGATCCACTCTTTTTTGCGTGTGTGTGGATATAAGGGAAGTAAAACAACAACTACAATCTGCAAAGCCTTGGGCTATTAATGCCCATAAAATCTCTTTCTAAGATGTTCCTACAACTTAACGGAGGTTCGGTAAATAGGTGAACATCCCAATGATCCACTTTTTCTTTAAAGAATTTATCATCTATCATTTAACATGATCATAAAAAGTTTCTTACACACACAACATTTTGTGGAGCTTGCAGCAAAAAAAATAATAATTTTGGCACGCAAAATGAATCTCTATAACATAACAGAATCACTTTTCCTACAACATAACTGTTATAAAACTCTGAAGAAGAGCGGTCCAAATCCGTAAGAATGGCACAAAGAAAGCACCTACCCTAAACTATTGACTTTATTTTAACTACCGTTTAGGTAAAGCATATTGTAGTTTGTTATAAAAAAGAAAAAAGAAAAAAAAAGAAAAGCATATTGTAGTTTAATTATGAAGATCAAATCATATTATAAAATTATGTATCATTAATGCGTTGCAGTGAGCGTACAAGTTTTATTTTTCTCATGATATCCTAAGTATTATTTATATTTAGTTAATTGTATTATTGATTATTAAATTTTATATTTAGGTTAATTAATAAAATTGCTACTGATTCTATCATTATATCCAATGTACCCACCATCTTTTTTTCAAATAAAAAATTTACATTTTATATTGCGTGATTATTATTCACTTGTTTTTTTAAATTATATGATAACGAAGTTATACAATAAAAAAAATTGATACTCTGGTTTAAATAAATAGTACAAAAGACAAAAAAATATATGTAGATCGGATTAATCAAATTGAATATGCTTTTAATTTTTTTTTCATCTTCTGCATATGTGCTTCCAAATTAAAGCGATTATTGGGTTTAATCATACCTAATAATTGAAACCATGGTGGGGAGGTTTTTATAAAAGGCAGCATCAGTATCTGTAATGTAAATATCAAGTGGAAATTGAATTGCGTAAAACGATAGTATAGTGGGGTGGGATCTCTAACTTTCACCATTTCATAGCATGTGTTGCTTAGGAGTTATGCCAGTTAATTAAGAATAACATTGATCCCAGCAACGAACGCGGGTCCAGCATTGCCTGTAATGGGATTGAGAACGCACTAGCCTGTCCATATTAACTTACCACAAGCACTATGGTACGACTTAACCTATAATGACGAAAACTTGCGAAAGTCATGAATTCTCCATTGTCAATTTTCATGTCCCTTAATGAGTAATTTATGTTCTTGTAAGAAACTTTAAAATGACTATTCTTATTTATCATTAGTCATTTCAAGAGAATCGTTTGGAGGCTTGTTAGGCTGATCTAGAGAAAGCCCGTGATGAAAACTTGTGAAAGTCATGAATTCCCCATTGTCAATCTTCATGTCCCTTAACAAGTAATTTATGTTCTTGTATGAAATTTTAAGATGGCTATTCTTATCTGTCACTAGTCATTTCAAGAGGTTCATTTGGAGGCTTATCGGGAAGCTCGTGGTGAGGGATCACCATCAATGGGCTAAGCTAGTCCAACTGTAGCACCACATCTCACTTCAAAATCTTAAAGGAATTAAATTCATGAGTCTATCCACTTATAGCCTATTACCAACCAATCCGAGACTCGTCACACTTGAATACTTAGATAATCTCCTCCTCAAATGTGAATCTGACCATTGATATGCTCCTTCTCAACTGAGTACCCAGGCCAAAGTACTCAATCCGTCTTCTAGCCAAACATCTGGCTAGCCCGAGTCCAATCCAACTCTGATACCATTGTCAGACTGGTATAGGGAAAGCCCGTGACGGGAGATCACCACCAATGGATTAAGCTACTCCAACTGTGGCAAGTTAGTCCGACAACACATTTCAACCCAAAATCTTAAGGCATTAGGTTTATGAATCTATCCACTACATTTAGCTCATCACTAATAAATGTGAGATTCATTATACTTGAATACTCAAACAAAGCTATATCATAGTTTCATTTGTGACGTCAGCACAAGTTTTTTTTTTTTTAATTGTATACCAATATGTCATATGACTATTACACCATTTTTTCTCGTTCATACAATGTTGTTATTGTATAATCAGAACTATTGTTTCGTTAACTAAATTGTAAAAATGAAAATCATTTGGGTTTAAATATATTTTGTGATGAAATATGCATTGGCCCAATTTTGCAATATGCAAGGCTGGATTTGTCAAGTCCGGGCTTAAAATTGTGGCATGTTGAATGTTTTGGGCCCCGGTCCATCTTAACCAATGAGCACTCTTTGTTTGACACGAGATTTTGAATTATTTCTTTATTTTTTTTGTTAAAAAGAAAAACGATTCATGAAACGACAGTGGTGCAAAAGCACAAAGGGCATGTTTGGTGTGACGTATAAGGTATGATAGTATAAGTTTATACTATATGTTATGACATTTACAGTTGTTTGGTGTAACAATCGTATAATATAAGCTAATACATTAAAATGATGTATAACTTAATCCGATCTAAGGGTGAGGGATAAGGCCTGATAAGAGATTGGTGTGTTAACACCGTTGACCAATGTAATTCTCAAAAATTAATATATTATTTTAATATTAATCTATTAAAAAAAATTAATTTTTCAATATTTTAATTTTTAAAAATTGAATATTTTATTTTTATAAAAATTTATTTATATTTTGGACACACTGATCAATTAATTTTTATAAAATTTAATATCATATGACAGTTTTTTGAAGAATTATATAAATTCTTTATTAAAGGATATTTTTATTAAAAAAATTTATTTTTATCATATATAGTATTATACAGTGCATTGCTAAATACTAGATGATATTATCTTATACAATATATTATTTTATACAATACCGTCCCAAACGCTGGATAGTATTAAAATTTAATCAGATCTTATACAATCAGGCCTTATACTATCAGGTCTTATACTATCAAACCTTATCTTATACTATGCATCAAACATGCCCAAAGAAAAATCAAGGAACGACCAGTAGACAAGAAACGACACCGTAGAGTTCAAAGTTCTGAAAATTATTGTTTCCCGCTCGAAAGCGCAAAACTAAAAAAAATGGAGCGTTGTGGTTGCCACGCTGGCGATCCGCGAGACCCCCGTTTATCCAATCACAGTTAAGGGTCACGGTCTATATAAAACAAAGCCAAGCACATACTTTGTGCATTGAAATACAAGTTCACTTCACTATCTCTACAATTTCAAATTCGAAACCCACGATGAGTTCGTCGGAAGCTGCAACCACCGTGAGCAAGGGCGGAAGGGGAAAACCCAAGGCTTCAAAGTCCGTTTCCCGGTCCAGCAAAGCAGGTCTTCAATTTCCCGTTGGCCGTGTCGCACGCTACCTCAAGGCCGGTCGTTATGCCCAGCGCGTTGGGTCTGGATCCCCTGTTTATCTCTCTGCTGTTCTCGAATACCTTGCTGCTGAGGTTCCTGATTATTTCGGCTTAATCGATTTATTTGTTTATTTAATTTTTTGTTATTTGGTTGTGTTCTTTTTCTGATGGTTTGAAATGTTGTGGTGTTATTTTGGGGGTTTAGCTTTTGGAGCTTGCTGGGAACGCTGCGAGGGATAACAAGAAGACGAGGATCATACCAAGGCACATTCAACTTGCTGTGAGGAACGATGAGGAACTGAGCAAGCTGATGGGGTCTGTCACCATTGCTAACGGTGGTGTTCTTCCCAATATTCACCAGAATTTGTTGCCAAAGAAGGTCGCTAATAAAGGGAAAGGCGAGGTTGGATCTGCTAGCCAGGAGTTTTAGACGCGTAGGATTCAATTCCTCATTTGTCAAAAATCAAATTGAAATGAACACTTGGGTTAACTTGTTGTTTTGGTTGGTTTGTTATGTCGTATATTTAGATTAGTGTTAGAATTTTATGATGTATATCTCTTCATTTTGGGAAAATTAATTAGATGTGATGTCCTATAAATGTGTTTTATCTTTGTCAACAGTTTTCTTCCTCCTCTGCGATATTTTGCTTTTTGTTTGCTTTATGTTAATATCAAGCGCGCTTTTCTTTCTTTCTTTTTCGTAAAGCAATTTTTTTTCGGTTGAAATTTTAAATTACTCTGAGAGCGCAATTTTGTTATTTCCGGTTTTTAGAATTAGATTTTAACACGTCTTAATTGATTTTGGCGCTTAAAATATTTAATTCAAAATAAAGTTTTAGGTCCGAGTCATTTCTATTTCTTTTTTTGGCTCACTTGTTGTTGTTCAAGATGTCACATTTGGTTATGCCTTTTCAATAAGAAAATTGGATTCGATATTTGAATTTGAAATAATCTTGGTATTTGGGTATAAAAACAGAAAACAATAAGTTAAACATAAAATGCATCTATTGCCTTTTTAATTAATTATAAGGACTTAATATCCTTTGATTAGTTTTAGTTTTAAAGAATCTATGTAAAATCTTTTCTTTCTTTTGGATTATTTTTAATCAATGTTCTAAATTCAACTTTTACTCTTTGTGAGGTTTGAAAGTTTGGTTAGTCATGAGTTGTTCTCTTATTCCTATCTTTAAAAGTTAGAATGTTGCTTCACCAAGGCAAAAATATTTTTAAAATTGTAATTTAAATAAAAAATAAAAATAAAATACAGAAATAAGAATTAAATATTTTTTTAATAGAAATAAAATGTGCCAAATATACACAAGGAAGCAATTTTTTTTTTATTTAAAAAATGGATAAAAAAATGATTTGAAGGGCATCTCTCTTTAGTGACTTTGCCCTGTTGTGTAATCTATTTCCTTAAATTTCCAAAAAAAAAAAAAAAGGATCAAATTCCCTTTGGTTATTTGCTATTGTATATCTTCAAAAATGATGTGGAATAAAAAAACATGATTCGATTCAAACGGATGAGTCAAAAGTTATTTTGTTTTAAAGTTTAAGGATACCACATTACATCTTTTGTTCTTTCTTTCTTCGTATAAATATAGGGTTTGATTAATCTCATGTTAAAGGAGATAAGTTATCTCATGTCATAGAGATAAATTTGTGGGCTCCCCCATCTGAAAAAGAAAAAAAAGAAAAAAAAAAGGTGGCACAATTATCAAAGGATGTGTAGGAGAGAAAATTATCACATGTAGCATAAGAGTAGTTTTTTCCATAAATATATTAGTGGCAATGAACCAACGTTAAATATCAAGATAATTATTCCATGGATTATTTCTGTTTCACCTATTTCTCAAGTGAATAGATAATCTCTAAAGTCTGCGAGTTGTGTACGATGAGGATGTTGAGATGATAACGGGTAGTTGAATTGATTGGTGTAGATTATGGCAAGTGGCATTATCGTGTGAGTTGCGCATTGATTTAGGCCCAATAAAAGGCCAGTTGCATACCAAAATAAGTGCATTATGGGACTATCTCGTCTATTTCTCATGTGTACAGGATCCGATTTTTCGTTTTTTCTCCTTATATAGCTTCACACGGACTTATACTTTTATATATATATAAAAAATAATTTTATCTCATATAATGAGATTGTGGTGCATTGTTTATCTGACGTGGATTAGATCTAAACTTAAGGCACTGAAAACAAGTATATTGAACAGAAACAAAAATTTATATAATTTATTATTATTTTCTTGCAAATAATTAAACTTATTGTTATATATTGGGTAATTTGTTCAAAACACAGAAAATGACATGCACGCCTGCCTGCACGGTCATTAAGTGCATAATTTATGTGATCCATGCTTGCAATCTGAGCCAAATTGTGAAACCAATAGAATAGAGCCATTTGCTTCACTGTTTTCTTAAGCAGTGTTTGTTCGGCAAGTGACTTCTTATACAGGACGCTTACGAAACACCTAGAGGGGGGGTGAATAGGTGTTCTAAACTTTTTCAAAATCTTTTTGAATTCAGTAAACAATTACACAATTTTTCTCCAATCCCTATATGCCCAAAATAGTTTTTCGCAATGCTAAGAACAATGTAGTAATAGAAAGCGTACCTTAGCAATTTATAGAGTATAAACGCAGCAATTATAATAGAATTAGTGTAACTGTCAGTCTCTAAACAAAATATTCAGAAATTAAATCAGAGAGACAATGGACACACGATATATCCTGGTTCACACCCACTAAGCCTAAGTAGGGTGCTACGTCCAGACTGAAGTAGCTGCAGATATTTTATTTACCACAAGTGTACCAGTTTTACAAACACGCGTCACACAGACAATCAAACAAAATACCAAAAATCTTCCTAGTGCGCTCCAAGCTCTGAGAATACTCTCAAGCCGAACCTACGGAGTTCACCAGCTCCTCTCACACAAGACCTCCACTCTCCCTAGTGGATTCTTGAGGCTCCAGGCCTTGAGACACACTCTCAAGCCAAACACAAGGTCGCCAACCCACTCGGTTGCACCCACACACCTAGGACAGATTTACAGCACGCAACTACTCCACTTTAACAATCAATACAGAATTTTCAGAATTGTAACAAGTGAAATAAACCAAAAAAACAGTGTCCTATCACACCAAATATATCGCAGTAATATCAAACTAAGCTACACAAATTTATGCCATATGCAGAAAAATTAATCCAATGACATATGTATTAAAATCTCCAAAATTAATGCACAAAGGAGCTTGGATATTACACAATTATTTTTCTAATCAATGGACACCAAGAAATCTGATTTAAAAAGAATATCACAGTTATAACCAGAAAAATCAGATTTGAAATTTATCTCAAAATTTCACATCAAATTCAGAATTAGTTCTAGATAAATCTTTTAATAATAAACCAAAAGAAATCTGAATTTTAATCACAATATAATTCAATTAAAACAGAAAATTCAGATTTAATATTCCAACAATAAAATTTCTAGAACAATTCAAGATTAGGTTTCTAAACAATAAATTTCAAACAAAAATCTGAATTAACACAATGTATAACAAGATGTAAAGATAAATTCAGATTTAATATTTTTAATCAATATTTCCCAAAAATTAGAAACACAAATCTTACACAAAGAGCATCAAGATTTCTAAGATATTCACATAAAATCAAAACAGAAAAATCAAGATGCAAAAATCAGATTCCAAATTTTAACAGTAAATTTTTATACTAATGAACAACTCAAGAATTTAATATTCAGATTAAACAACTCAAAATCCCTAAAGCATATGAAATAACAGATCTGAAAATTTCAGATAAAATGCTTCAAACAAAGAATCACAAAAGATTTGAGTTGATTAGAAAATACCACAACGAAACCTCAAATATTTCTGTAATCTGCTCCCACAAGAAACCCCAAATCAGTCACAAGATTGCAACCCTTGCTCTCGGTATTTCACAAAAAAAATTAAGCGCTTTACTCCTCGAAATCTTTCTTCACAGTGGCAATAGAGGAAATTTTAGGAATAAGGTTATATGCCTTTCTTCGCATGTGCAGTAACAGAGTAAAAAAAATTTCTGACGAAGACGGACGAAGACGAACACCAAGAAGACAGTAAAATGATGTTTTCTTTCTCTTTTAGTCAAAAAAATGAATTAACTTTAAGCATTTGTATTGTAAAAGATTGGTAAAGTGATCTCTTTTATATTCCGGGTAAATTTTGAAACTTTTTATCTACCCGAGTATGTAGGAGTGTACCCGGGTAGAGTTCTTGAATCTGGGAAAATTGTTGAATTATTTACCCGGGTAAGGATCAGTGTACCCGGGTAAACATCGACGGTAGGGTTTTAAAATACCCCAGCAGCCCCATTTCGAAAACCCACAAAAGGGGTACCCGAGTAGAGCTGCTGGAGGAGTGTCTTCTTGAGCGATTTCAGGCATAATCTTGCACCAATTCGTCTTGTTTCTGATCATCATTCGCGGACCTTGCAACCTCTCTGCCTTCTACCGATTGAAATCGATCAAAGGTGCATTTTTTTTTCAGTTTTTTCAATTATGTTATGATTTCTGTTCTGATTCATTGTATTTTCGTTTATATCATTTGATTCTGTCCGAATTATTTTATCAATTTGTATGTCATACGCTTACCCTAACCCTAACCCTGAATCTAACCCTAACCCTAACCCTAACCCTAACCCTAACCCTAACCCTAACATGTATCTAATTTCTGATTTTGGTTATTTTTTCAGTTTAATAGTGTGACACAATGACCTCTCGACGCGTTTCAAAGCTGCCAGTGACCCATTCCGAGAGAAGAACCAAGAGTCGTCACGATGGGTCGTCATCCTCTCAGCCCCAGGCTGCTTCGAGTCAGGCTCCGGACTTGACGTTCGGATATTTGTTTGAGGATGACATACCTTCACACGAGAAGTTCGTGAAGTTTTTCATGACCCGGAAGATCTGCGAACCGAAATCACTGGATTCAGCATTCTTCAACCTAGAGCGTTTTGACATTGTGCCGCTTCTTGAGCAGACACATTTACTTCACCTGGCGGAGATGCGGTGCCCATACTCGGAGGTTATGGTAAGAGCCTTCTACCAGAACCTTGGCTACTCGCAAGGCGAGCTGACTTCCCGTGTCTGCGGGATTGATATCATCATGACTGCTCCTATCTGGACGGAGCTACTGGGGTTCGATTTTGATGGTGTCACAGGAGCAGCACTATATGATGGAGACAACCATCATATATTTGGTGATTATAACCGGGAGACCATTGTTACAGAGACTAGGAGGGCAGACGCTGAGCCCGGTCATTTTGCTCATTATCCTGTTAGCAACTTGTCAGTTTCTGCTCGCATTCTTCATTATGTGGTGACACATATTATTTTCCAGCGCCCGCATAATCACTCAAAGGTGCTG